GTGAACCTTGTAGACACATCAACCCATGATGAAGCTGACCCTGCTAAGCAGTGATAGTCATCTCACAGTGGGAATGGGATGGCTCATTTAAGTGATAAGGATGGTCTCAGAACCAGAACTGAGATAATGATCAGCCAGTCCACTGTTTGACCAAAACTGTTTCAGACCTTTGTCCCCTCCCCCAGTTCTTCCCTATTTAAATTTGAAGCTAATGTTAGTACCCACAAAGACAGGGCTGATGACACTAGTCCATAGTCTTCCCCAAATAGGTATATTAAGTAAATTATTTTCTGAATTCATCATTATTTTTTCACTTGATGTTTGGGGCAAGTGGACAGACCTGGTTTGTTGGGGCTCACTAAAGACAGTCCCCCCCCTCCCCCCGGCCTAGAAGTCAGGCAAAAAGACTAGTGAGACATTGACTTGGATTTAGGAAGGAGTAATTCCAGGGGTCCCTGTTTCAGGCAAGAGTAGTAGGTACTGGAATGTGCCTGCGTTTGGGGGTGTCAGTCAAATAGTTACTGGAGCAACTAAAGAACAAAAGTCTCTTATTGCTGTTCTGTGAAGTTATTCTGCCACTTAGAAACATGGAAATGATGGATACAGTTTATTTATAGACATCTCCAGAGCAGACATGATGAGACTCATATAGTAAGTATATTGTTTATTAACTTGACTTGTCCCAGGGTACTCTACAATATTTGGTCAAACCTTATTCTGGATGTTTCTGAATGGGTGTTTTGGATAATATTAATTTTTAAACTTGTGAATTTGAGTCAAGCATTCTGTTTGTGTGTGAATCTCATCCAATTAATTGAAGGCCTGCACAGAAGAGAAAGGCTGGCCTCCCTGGAGCAAGAAGGAATTACCTTCTAGCAGATGGTTCTTGTACTTCATCTGCAAAATCAGATCATCCTGCCTTCAGACCCAAATTGGGACATTGACTCCCTTATCTTTTGGGCTTGTTAGCCTCCATAACCACATGAGTGAATTCCTTATAATAAATCTCCTTGTGTATATACCCACATGTTCACTTTTGTTTCTCTGGAGGACRTTGGTGAATACACTAGGTCACTTGTAAAAAGTAGTCACTTCAGACATTATAGCCCTTAAATATTAGAGAAGACCTTCTATCCCAATCATTGTTGTCATCCTCAGACACTTTCAGAATTGTGAGTCTCACGGGGACAGACACTGGGGATGCAGAAAGAGGCTTACAGTGTAACTGAGGGAGGTGGGGTGCACTGTGGGAAGGTAAAAGAGCTTTCAGGGCAGATGCTGTACCAGGTGCCAGTGGCTGGGATGGATGGGGAGGTTTAGCTTGTACACCGTGAGACCTGGATTCAAAGTTAGGTCTGTGCAGCTGCACTCTTGGTCTCTTTCATTTCTTATTCATTCATTTGACAAATAGGTATTGAGAACCTGTTCTATGCCTGGAAGAGTTCGAAGTTCTAAGAATAAATTGGTAAACAAAGCTAGTAAAGTCTCTTGCTCTCGTGGGGCTTACAAATCTACTTTTTACAGTGAATGGGATGATTTATCAGGCAGAGTAAGTTTCTACAGACTTTCATAGTTTCCAAAAACCCTTTTACATCCTATAATTTTGTTTTTCCTTAAATAAGAATAATATCTCTTCCATGTCAGTTATTAATAAGTTCAGTTCTTTATATTTTATTCTACTATAAATTATAAATGAGGAAATGAAAAAAAATTATACATTTTAAATAGTCCTAGGGAAACATCAGCATATATATTTTTTAAACTTTAAAAAATACAGCCGTAGCTTGATGAAACACTTGTGCGCCTTCAGATTTTAAATCCTGTTTAGTAAGAAAAGAAGACAAGCAAAAACTGTGGGGTTTTAAAATGATGCTTATTAATTCTTAGGTTTATTTGCATCTTTCATTTCAATGTACAATGCAATATTTGCATCATTTAAATTGGGATGACATCACAAGCTTATCTTTGAAAAAAATGAGGCAGAACCTATAAAAGAAATTTAATACCCACTGCCCTTTGCTTTCATTTTCTTGGAAAATGTGCATTACAGGAAGGTTCAAGATCATGTGGAAATAGACACAGTGTGGTGTAATTGGAGAAAGGAATAATGCTGGCATTCATGAAGTAGCCTCAAATTTTTGTAGATCAGAATATCCCTTTTCATTTTCTGTGAATTTCTTAGCATATCATTGAAAATCAGCCTGAGAAATAGGTAGCAAATGTATGAATATATGGTGATATCCCAAAGTCACAGGTGGGATAGTTGGAGTTGATGACTTTTGAGTTCTAGTCATATCTAGAAGTTAGGTTTCAAAAGCACCTGATCTTTCCATTTATTCTCATTTTTGACACACTTAACAGAATATTATTTTTTCTCCCTTTGTTCTCCATCAAAGCAGTGGGATTGGATTCTGTCTTCGGGTAGCCTACAGTGACTCAGAGCCAAATATGCATGGCTGGTTACATCCTTTCCCCAGACACAAACTAATGCCTCTGTACATGATGAAGTAGGTAACAGTGCTTTTGATATTGAGGGCCATGATGAGATGTTGAGATAAAGAGCAAAATGTCCTTTTATATCCTTTCACAATCCATTAAAATACATTATTCTAGTCCCGGATATATTAAAACATACCTCCTTTGGAAAAACACTGGAAAGTAACTGTAGTTACAGAAAATAACTTCTATCCTTCAAGAGAAGAAATTTGGAAAAATCTGAAACCATGGGAGCATAAGGTGAAGCTGGCTCATGCTGCAGTGAATTAGATTTATTTCAGTGATGGAAAAGATTGCTTCCTATTTTCCCAATAGGCCATAGTCAAATACATCACAAAATCTGCTTCTGTAATTTAAATTGAAGACATAAGTTTAAAAAAAAAAAAGGAAAAGAAAATAACTATTTTCTCCCATTAAAAGTAAATCAGTGAGGTGGCAAACCTGCTTAATTTTTTTATTTTTATATATTGGTGCTGGGGTTTGAAGCCAGGACCTCATGCATGATAAGCTGGAGCTCTCCCACTGAGTTAGATTCCAGCCCAACTGTTTAATTTTGAAATGGTTATTGTCAAGCCTTTAAAATGACTTCAGTTTAACTTTCAGATTATATAGTATAGTGGATTAAACAACAGCTCCCTGAAAGGGCCACATCCAAATCCTGGGATTGGTGAATGCAACCTCATTGGGAAAAGGGTTTTTGCAGGTGTAATTAAGTGAAGGATCTTCACATGAGATCATCTTGGGTTACTTTAGTGTTCCCTAACTCCCATCAAGAGTGTCCTTTTGGGACTGGGGTTGTGGCTCAGTAGTAGAACACTTGCCTATCATGTGTGAGACCCTGGGTTTGATCCTCAGCATCACATAAAAAAATAAATAAAGGCACGCTGTCCATCTAAAACCTTAAAAAAAATAAAAAGAAAGAGTGTCTTTTTAAAAGACTGAAGAGAAGAAGACAGACACACAGAGGAGAAGGCAGTTCACAGGTCTGAGTGATGTGGCCACAAACCAAAGAAGCCAAGAAGAGCCTGAAGCCACCATAAGCTGGAAGAGAAAAGGAAGGAGTGTTCTCTAGGGCCTTCAGTGGGAGTGTGGCCCCCCAACTTGGAACTTCTGGCTTTCAGAAACTTGAGAAAATAGATTGCTGTGTTTTATTTCACCATGTTTGCAGTAATTTATTATAGCAGCCATGGGAAACTAATGTGTGTATGGCTCAACAAAGATTCACTGAACAACAATCAGAGCTGTGAACAAGTCATTGAGAAAATATCTTTTTCCTGCAAGAAGCTTACACAGATGTAGTGAGTCAGACATGGAGATGGGCCCATTATGGTACAGTGTGAAAAGGTCTGTTAAATGGATACAGAAAAATATAAATGATGGGATTTTTGGAAAACTGCCACTTTTTCTTAGCAATGCCAGTGTTAAACTGCCAGTAATTCTTGATTTATACTTTTAAAGCATTCATGTAAAATAAGCTATTTTTAATATAACCATTAATATATAAAAAGAATATAATTAATAAATAACCTAAAACTTTAAATTTGATGAATTTTTAACCTGGAGCATACTATATGAAGGGCATATTTCAGTCTGCTGTATGAATGCTAAGAGAACTAAAGTATAACACTTAACATGCTATGAATCTGGCTGGGCATTTTAATAACCTTTTTCTGTCCAGGCTGTCAGATTTTTCTTTCATGAAAATATTTCTCTAACTTTACAATGTTATCTGTTGAATAGATAACTTGTCATGATAATATTTATCACTACCATATGAAAATGATA